AGCAGTTGTGTCAATGAAGAAGACCAGATTCTTCTGTTTTTTTTTTTTTTTTCTTTCCCTTTTTAAAGTCTTTTAATGGCACTTATTACAGATGGTACAAATGATTCTATAAACTAGCGTAACGTAATGTAATAATCGCATAAAAGAAACGAGAAAGAGTATATATATATATATACATATATATATATATATATAATAGTGTGTAACTGTATATATATATACGAAAACGACCGCTCTTAATCGTTTCACAAAAGGGCAAAAGTGAAAAAAAAACAAGAGAAAGAACAAAATGGAAGACAAATAAAAGGAAAAAGAAAAAAAAGAGAGAGAACGAAAAAGTAAAATAAATCTAAAAAACAAAGAGAACGGAAAAAGAAAGTATATATATATACATATATATATATATAGACAATAAAAAGAAAACGGGTGAGAAGATAAGAGAGAAAACCAGAAAAAACGTGGGTAGTAGTTAAACGTGACAAAAGAGAGAGAGAAGTCGACTAGATTAAAACACAGTTAATTAATCGATGATTATAACGTCGTCGTCGTCGTCGTCGTCGTCATAGCATCGCAATCACCATCATCATCATCATCATCATCATCATCATCATCATCACTATCATCGTAGTCGGTGCCGATGGACGACGAAGGGATCACATAAGGGGCTCAGGGGAAAAGGGATCAGGGATCAGATCAATCGAAAGAGGGATTACAAAAAGAGAAAAAAAAAACTGACTAAAACTTAACGAAACCAAGAAAAAAAAAGAGAGAGAGAAAGAGACAGAGAGAAACGAAACAAGGAGGATTGAAATCGGAGAAATGCTGAATGGCGCATAAAAAGAAAAATAAAAAGAAGTAAATGAAAATTTATAAATAATAAGGGAGAGAAAGGAAGAAAAAAAAAAAAAAAATAAAGTCCTAAAAGGGAACACGATAATTTTACACAGTCGTGATGCTGTAATGCACATGTACGCAGACGCATGCTCTCCGTCCTTGGGTTTCTTAGTAGGCTGCCTTTAAGTGTGTTCGTGTGTCTTCCAATTCATTCTTTCTGATACGATTTATCGTATCGAGAGGAGGAGCAATTGCTGTCGAATCATTGGGCTTGGTCGATGGTTG